TTCAAGAAAATATCTCTTATGTGCTACTCATTTACAATCATCATTTTACTACCTCATATATCCCAGAGGTTAGCAGTCCTTTTGAGAAAGACATGATGATCTGATGCAATGATATCCACTAGTATTTTGCATTTTCTAGCCATTGGAAAATGTGCATTATGTGCATATAAGAAAGGCTACAAGGTCATTAGTAAGGCTGATGATAACTACATTATGAAATAAATAGTACTAAGTAAAAGGTAACTCAGAACTGTGCAAAGACAGTACTAACAGAACCATTTAAACACCCATGCCAATAAAAATGTGATAGAAGTCAAATCATAGGCAGTTTGTCAGAATTAATCATGTTTCAAATGTTCTTTTTGTCTTCAACTGAAAGCAACAGGACAGACCATGAACCATACAGCCTGGTGAGTATCTGCCAAATGACAGGAACAGTGAAAACATACAAAATGCTATCAAATTGGAATAGATGACCTCATGTCTGAAAACATTAAAAAAATACAACCCTTCATATGAAAGTAGAGGTGAGTTTTTTCATCATTTAAGTTTCATTTTTTTTTGTCAAAGCACTTACAAAGAAAATAATTTTATATTTATGAAATGTTAGTGTTGCATATTCTTGTAGACATGATCTACTTCAATTTTATATAATGGATATTTAAATTATTAGCATTTTTACAAAGTAGAATAGGGCAGTCTTTTTGATCAACAACATTCCATTTGCTTCTTAAAAATTTAGACAAAGTTCCTAGTGCATTTTACTAAGCTTTACCTTTGGTGTTAAGCAGTGACTTTTTAGATTTCCCTTTTTAAACAATTTCTGGAGTGAAGATTCTTTGGCTTTGGGGGACTACGCTCTCTGACGACAGTCAAACATCCTGGGTTTTTTTAAAAGAAAAATATAAGCCTACTATTAAATACCATAAGAGACAGATTTCAGAACCAGACAGATGCAATATGCAGGCTTCTGTAATGAAATCGCCAACAGCTGAATTCTCACTTACTCCTGACACCTTCACCTCTCCTCTCACTGAAGCAACATAAAGGTGCCTTATTGTAAGTGAAAACCAGGCCCTGTTTGTTTTGGCTAATCTGAGTACTGAGTGTGTGGCCTGAACATTTTAACCACACAAAAGAATCAGCTGTGCCAGCAGGAACATTGCCACCGTGGCTATTTTACACTACAGCACTTCCTGTACTATTTTATATCTGGAGTCCAAATCTGTTTATGCAAAAGGGTGTTTAAATTACTCTGCTAGAGCACTGCAATTATTGTACTTAGTAAAAAAAGTCACTAAACAAATACTGTATCTATCGACTGCTCATTTACAGCTTATTTAATTATTTACATAATTTTAGGACACATTAACCTAAACCATAAGTAGAATTAGCTTTTTGCCTTACCATAAAGTACAAATTAGAAGTTAAAAATGTTTAAGAAATCTGATAATATTTACACACGTTCAGCTTAAGTTATGGTTGCTCACATTGTATGTTCTATGTACACATAGCAAAATGTTTTGATCACTACTGATATAGTATTGTACCCTGGCCATCCCACCCTAGATTATTTTCTAGAAATAGTTACTATTTTTGCCTTTTTTTTTTTTTTTTCTTGGTTCCCTAAGGAATTTGTTGGTTTTGAAAACTTACTAGTAGACAATGCTGTTATAAAAAGAGAGAGGAGAAATAGGCAAGCAATGTGAGGACTAGTCTAATTCCAGATGCAAGGAGGTACAGTACTATCATCATGTCAAATGGTGCAATACTCCATATGGATCATAAGCATTGATCTGCTGATATAGAAATGCCCAGTTACCCTGTAGAGTAAGTTTGGTTTTTTTTCTAAATACAATAATATTTTAATTTTTTTTCTCAAAAATATATTCATACACTGGTTGATGGTAGAAACAAAACTATTATTAGCTTATTCCTTTAACACACCAACATGTGAATGTGTGTGCATATATATATATATATATATATATATATATACTCAGCATGTGTATATATACACACATATGTCCATACAGACATTTGGGGGTATGTCCATATGCACATACAGCTGGAAAATGTTTCACATCCATTCACTTATGTTTAACACTGTGTTATAGGACTGGAACACAGTCTAATAATTACAGTGAAAATTAATTGAGGTTTAATTTTAATGCATGTTGTTTTTTCTGAAATAAATAGGCTATTTTCCCCAGGTGTAAGACCACCACTCATTTTCTCTATGCATTGTGCTTTAGTACCTTACAGATTTTATGGGTTTTTTTTTTAATTAGAATGTAAGGACTCTGAAGAACTCTGCCACATGCTGTTATCTGGGACTCTGTTTTCCTCCCCTGGGAATGAGAAAATAAATGGTCACAATGTCATTGCTTGAGTCTTTCTTCCCAGTCACTGAACTGCGATAGGCTAGAAACATAACATTCCTTATGCAAACACAGAAACATGTTGCATGAATTTTCAATTCTGAAAATGTGTATCATACTTACTAGCAGTCATGTACAGTATATATTTACAGATTGAGCTCAAAGATTTCATTAAAACTGTGCCATGTTATAGTCATAATTCCCCCATGAATTTCACAAAAATGAAAAACACCTTAATTGCTGGCTATTATGTCTAATAGAACAATAAAATGTGCAATTATATTACAGGTTTTATCTAAATTATTAACTTTGCTATTTTGTTTATTGAAACCAACAACAATTAACATGGTTAAAAAGATCTAGAATATTCATTTTCAGTCAATTCTAAAGTAAAATAAATTTATTCTAGTTTACCTGGAGGGTAGCACACATAGCAAACCCCGTATCTCATGTATGTTGGCATCATTTCTCTCTTTCACTCAAGTATCTCAGGAATAAGTGCTTACCTTGGGCTTGAGTTATGCTTTTTCCATGATAGTCCCTCACCAGCCTTTCTCACCCCCATCTTTTTATATCACAGTGTTAAGCCTTAGTACAAAGTGGTAGAATCTTTCTCTTTCACTAATTTTATATCACATTAATAGCCAGAAGAACATAGTAAAAGCAAAAGTGCTCCTTCCCCACAGATAATTTTTCTTTCCTAGTGACACCTGAGCAGAAACCAAACATTTTCTTTCACTCTCTGAATAGCAACATCAGAGAGTATTATGGCTTGTACTGTAGCTTCAGAAAAGTGAATGTGCAGTTCCAGGATTTGATCTCTGTGGTTTTTGTATAGCTGAAGCAGTTACCAATGCAGAGAGTCAACATATTCCCTGTAAGGTTTTATATTTGATGTGTATCAACCACAGAAAGGCTGTGAGCTCCCTGCAGTCACACTCTGCTTCTGTGAAACAATAAAAGGAGCTGTCAGCAATTTCTGAAATGAAAGAAGAGCTTGTACAGAAGAATATTATAAGACTGCTTTCATTTAGGATAATTAATATAATTTTTAAAGAACAGACTTTGAAGAGAAATACTGAATTTTGATATGCTCCATTTCTTAAAATTGGGAAGAAAATCCAACATAACTCATACCTATGATGAAATCCCAAGTGCATCTACGAAGGTTATTGCATTATGCATGAAATGCAGTCACAAATTAGTAAGTGAACAAAAAACAAAATTTTGACTTGGAAAGTTAATCACATGAGGAAAACCTGTCTCTACATATTGCAGAGTCTGAGCCTGGAGGCAGTGTGTGAATGTACACAACTTCCTGGCAGGTAGGGTGTATTGCAAATCCCATCTCAGGCTTCAAAACTATCCTCTGTTATTTGAAACAGAAATAAGCACATGACATGCTCCAATAAAGGTCTGAATATTTGACTATTAGTTCCCAGAACTATTCTCATCCTGTTAGTGTCATTCACTGTCAAACAAGGGGAAGGGGAAGCAAAAATAAAAACCACAGAAATCTGTAAGACAATTAATCTTTTAAAGTAGGAACAACAAAAAAATATATTTTATGAAAAATATTCTGCAGAATTTTTTTTAGTACCCTGAAAAAATGCTTATACTCTCTCATTTCTTTCAAGGATTTGTACACAGATGAGAGGTAGTATGGATGCAATAGATCTGGTTTTTGCTTCTTGAAACATCGTGTCAAACAATATTGGGGATCTGATCTAGTAAAATCCATCAAGAGTTTCTACTTTTTATACAGTTCTTATCATTGCTGTTTTCGTGACAAAAAAACCTCCACAGTGGAATAAGTGACAAAATTTTTTTGGTCTAAAATATTTTTTTTCTATTCTATTTTGCCTGTAAAAATAAAGCTCAACTGAATGAAAAAAACTCAACTTTTTAATTCATGAAGTTTCCCAAAGAAAAACTGAAATTTTCTAGTTTTTCAATGGAAATCACCCTAAAGCAGGAAACATTCAAGGGTGTACTTAAACTTTTAAAGTGATTGCTACGAATTTCTTTCCTTTAGTAGAATGCATTAAGGAAAACAAGAAGTAAAATGGTATTGCCTAATCCAGACTGAGAAAACGCCCTGTCAGTACCTCTTGTACGGAAATACATATGCTCAAATCTTGACTGCTGGAAGAGGTACAGAACCTTTAACCAACAGCAGGAAGCATAATGCTGGAAAGATGAAAACTTGGAAGAAATCACACAACTCCACACGACTATTTCAGACTAAGGTGTGTACAACTGACAACATTCATCTGCACCGTGTATATACACACACACACACACATATATATTTATACACGCACACACACACACACTTTTATGTATATGTAGCCTCCTGTCTCCTTGCCCCTGCACTTTGTAATTGCTCTCTCTCCCTCCCTGCCCTAGAGAAAGTCAGGGAACCACTGGTTTCCTTCAGCCATCTACAGAATTACTATTCAGGCAATCAATTTTGGCACTTTGGACAGATTCCGTTTCCCCAACACAACCCAGCAGCATCTACCCCTGCAGTGCTGATGCATTTTTATACTGTCTCTACATTCCTCTATTGATCCCAAACACAGTCACTGTGACTGTGAGCATGTGTTCTCTCTTTAAAATACAAACTAGTGCTTTTTGCTTCAGCTTCTGTGCAAACACCCAACCCCAATATTATCAGTCAAAGGTTCAGTTCTTTCAGTAAATAAAAGGAAATACCTGAATATGGTTGGGAAACCTCTGACCATCATCATCTTGGAAAGATGATAGGCACTACTTGTTTTCAAGTTTACACATTTAAAAAGTAAAGTGTAAGTGTTTTCACAAGCATGACAACTCAGTACACTCCCTTAAGTGTATATGCATGCCTTGGATATGCACTTTCCCTAGAGTGGCATGTACTGCTGTTGAAATTAAAACTTGTTTCTCAAACGCTGCTCTATAAATTTTTGTACCACTAAACACAAATGGCCACTAAAAAAAAGAAAAGAAAAAAAGAGTGAAGAACAATGAGACAGAAGTGATTTTCAAAACCCAATTTGCCTTTACACTCAAAATGCACTTATATTTTGATAAGGGGATATGTCCAAACTGCAACTTAACATATATACGGTTTAGCAGATACAACCAAAACATTATAAAAACAGACCATAGAGTGGGCCAGCAACTAAGGTGTTTTAAAATAACTTTTTGTCCAGAATAGAATTTTCCCAAGTCCCACTTTTGGCTGTACAACTGATTTGAAGAGAAATCCAGTTCTTGCTTCCTGTGTGGCTTTGTCTCTTAGTTCACATAGTAAAGCCAATAGACAATATTGAAGAAGGAAAAAACAACAGGGAAGAATATGCGAGACCATCGATCTATGGCATTTACATCAGTCAAGTCAGGGATGGTGATTTTCAGCTGGGACGCACGTCTCCGTAGCCTGCTTTTCTTCTGTGCCACGTGTCGCTCCAGGGCGTTGCGGCCGAAGCTGTGTCTGGGCAAACCAGCTTTCCGGTACTGGATACTCGAAGTGTCATAGGCCAGCATTGTGCTCCTAGGGTCCCCAAGCCCCATCACAGCCTCAGAGGCAGCCACCTCGTTTTTAATTTCAAGTGTGCTCAACAAAATATTTTCATGTGGATCCATCTGTAAAAAATAAGCGAGCAGATTTAGCGGGAGAGAAAGGAAGCCCAGTCAGCTGCAAATTGAAGCCATGCTGATAATGGCCATATCTAACACTACTAGTTTATTGGATGTCAGCCTAAAAGACTTTAAACATAGCTGTGATTATATTTATTATCATTTATTTGTGAGCTCAAGGAGAAATAGGGCCAGCATAGTATAATGCAATAAATGGTATTTCCTTAGACCCGATGTTCAGCAAGCACAAGCAATACCTGGGAACAGAGAACACGCTCAGCTCCTGAAAGTGGGATTCTGCCACTGAGTAGGATATCTGGGGCAAATATCGAACTTTTCAGGGTTTTGGAAGGAAATCAAATGGAAAATTATCTGCTTTGTTTTGGTTTATCTTCTTTGAAATTAAAGCTTTGGCTCTGACATAAATGCCCATTATTTGCAGGGTCTCTCTGCCTCCATGAATGAGGTACAGAGCAGTACCCAAGAGAATGGACATTTTAGATCCCCATATTCCAAACAGAAGTACTGGTTAATTGGGGAAAGACAATGGTATATTCTAACTATAGCTATGTGGAAACTCCATGCCCCAGTACTAATAAATTTCATAAATACAGCACATGCTGTAAGTGCATGCTGCTGTAATAGCAGAGATCTGCAATTTCAAGCAAGGAAAAAGATATGCAGAATGTAATCACATCAAATGTACACTGAACAGTTGTTTCAATGGGTTGATTTAGCTACTATGCATTCTTTCAAGGCAATTCAGTGAAAAAAATATTAAAGCTATATTGTAGAGAAACCCCTTAAACAATCTAGAGGATTTCAAAGATAAGGAACTAAATTCCACTCTTAGGCAATCTGGAGAAGATCTGGAATATGATAGGAGAATTTTAAAAAGAATCCATTTGGAGAAAAGAAATAAAAGTTATTTAGGAAGTTCTAATTCTCAGCCTTCCCTCTAAGCATGTATTTTGAATTGTGTGATAACAGATTATAATTAACTGAAAGTATTTAAAAAACAATAATAGCTAATGAAAAGCTAATTAATTACACTGAATTAGTGATGGTAGTGCAGATATAGTCCAGATATAGTGCATACAGTCCAAATAAGAGAAAAAAGTGTCCCAGAGCTCCTTTAAGAAAAACTCAGCCACATTATTAATTTATCAAATACAGAATATATTCTATGATTATTACTCAAAGTCCAAAAACTGTAACTTTTGTCTTTTGGATTTCTAAACAATAACAGGGTATTAGTATATTCTGTAATATTTAGAAACTAGCTGTCAGCAGCAGGTACCTCCCTGCACTGCCCAGTGCAGACTGCATTTGCCATTATTAAAGCCCATATGTAATATTTACCGTGGCAAGATGAGAGAACTGGGTTTAAATGATTTGGTTTTCAGTAGCACCCCCTGCACAGTGTTATGAACTGAGATGTCAGACACTCACAAAGGTACTTTGGACCTACTGAAACACTGTTATTTGAGTGATTACATCTGTTCAAATGATGCACAAAAACTAGTGTTGCTGAGATGACAGAATTCCCCCTCTCTCTCTTTTTTCCCCCATCCATATGAGTTTGCACCCTTCTAGTTTCATTAAATTTTAATTATAAATCAAATGTCATGACTCAGTGTGAAAAAGCAAAAAACATTTTCATTTTTGTTTGCTTTTCATCAAAGCCACATGAAATTTTTGAAATTCCTAGTGTGTTAGAGGAATCAATCTTCACTGAAAAAATGGGAAAGTTGAGTTGGTACTCAAAAAAAATTCCTTTAGGAACTCTGCAGCATGATATTGAGCATAGTGAGGGAACACTGCTTCTATCCAGGAAGGCCATCAAATCAGTTCTCATCTGCATTGGACAAAACTAAGGTAAAAGTATTATTCTGCTATTGTAATTTCAACAAAAGCATATATATGCAAAAGCTTTCAAGTAGATCTATGAAACTTCTGAAGATGGATTTCAAACATTATTTTCTAATGGGTATATTTATTTAGAAAATTCTATTGTGATTTTTGGGATAAAATGAAAGGGGACTCATTTTTGTTTTTAGATCTCAGACCAACCACAGGAGTTTCAGGGTCCTAAAAAGAAAACAGTTAATTACAGGCACTTGGCATTCATTAATCTCAAAAGTCTAAAATCACCAGAGGTATGTTTCATACATGAGGGGTGCAAAGTCATTTGGAAACTACATTTTCTATATTTTCAGAAACCCTCAGGAGAAGAAGTTTTAGTTCCAGTGACATTAGGGGAAGTTTGATAGAACATCTATTAATGTAATGGGTTTACCCCTTAGCCCAGAGCCTGGGTTATTTTCACCTCAATGTTGTGCAATCTAGGATACTATTTTTGGAAAGATTTTAGTGCCAACAATTTTTTTCACATCTTAAATCTTCTTAGGATGAATCTACTTTAAGCATTTTATCCTTTTGATCTGCAATGATATTAGAAATTGGAGTGCTCTTTACATACTTGAATACATTCTATACCACACACATGCACGAAAGGCTATTTTAGTCTGCTAGGGTTACACACAGACATGTTTCAGCAACATGGTATCACTCCAGTCAACTTTTTTTCTTAATGCAGCAAAATGCTGCAGATGTCTGATAATCTTGAAAGCAATTAGTAAGATTAGTGATGCTGGGCAGAAAAAACATTAAGCAATATTCTAAACTATCTTCTAGGGAAAAATGTCTTGTGTACATATCACACTCATATTAGAGTTGAAGCACAGCATTTTTCAATATTCCAAGACTTTTTCAGAAGAAATAATGCAAAATACAGTAAATATTAGTGATGGGCGAATCTTCAAGTGTCACAATACCCAGGTAAACACCACAAAGTTCAGCTGTTTCTTGAGCACTAATTTTACCCTCCTGCATCTGGAATAATGAATTGACCATAAGAATAAATGCATTTGTTTTCCATGATATTTTGAATTTCCAACTCAAAGGAACTGGAAGGAAGGCAGGTAGGCAGGAAGGAATCTAACTCTTCAGCCTTTGTCAAAAGGTTCCCTGTCAGATTAGAGAGAGCTGGGAATGTTTTTTCCACCAAGTAGATTCGCCCAACTCTAACTAAAACATGCTTTTGTGATGAAGTGACACCTGAAATAGAATGACAGTGAGCTAAATTTCTTGTAAACAGCACCACTCATTCAAAAGGATCCCAAAGCGCTTTACAAGCATTAGAAAGAAGAACCACTTCACTTCCCAGTGAAGCACAATCACCTCTGAGGTGAAATGTAGTGACTGACAGTGCAGAACAACAAACTTTATTTTAGTTGAGGAAATGGAGAATGTTGTAGCCAATTGAAACTATGGGGTGGGTGAGCGGTGGTGGGGAATGTTGGGTAAGCAGAACAGTTACATAAATTGATATTTGGCCAGGTGCTTGGGGTTGAGATGACCATGCTATAAAAAAGTGCCATGGGATCTTTAATGACCATAACTGGTCAAGACCTGAATTTTACGTCTCTGAGGATAAAAACATTAGAAAACAATGAAAGATACCTTTGTTGAATACATTTCTGGACAATGATATGTGCCAATTATTCTTCTGTCCTGTAAGTTAATAAAATCAAGACCAGTTTCCTTAGAGATAAGGCAGCTATTATCTTTCATTTAAAATTAAAGCATTGTAGGATAATAGTAGGACAAGTAATTAAAATATATAGGGACCTCTAAGCCAACAATTAGCATTGGTACATTCTGGCTTCAGAGGTGCTGTTACTGCCTTGCTCTGCTCCTCAAGGTAACATAAGGTTGTGATGTAAATGTATTTTTTCCAACTGGTCATTTGACCAAGGAAGATATGATGATATGAAAACAATTATTAAAATTATTTTGGGGGGAAAATAAGTGGAAAAGTGGTTTCAAAAGGAGGTGGAGGAAGGTTAAAAAGATCTCTTGGTGCTGAAGGATTGTTCAACCATAGAACTAGACTCTTCATGGTGAACAGGAGAGTTCAAACTTAATGGATAAATTCCCAGGATGAGAAAGGAAGGGAGGATGAAGATGAAGCAGCAGCAAATACTATGGAAATAAAAGGTGAAGACAGAAGTGGAGGAGAAATGACCAGAGCACAGCAACCCTGCAAAACACTGGGGTTTTATAAAACAATCTTAAATGTGACCAACAAATTATATGATGCAAATGATTCATTTATGGGTCCAGGTAAAATGGAAGAAAAGCTGACTCTGGAGCCATGAAAGCGACCATGATGTTTTTGATGGTCTCAAACAAAGGGAATACAGAGGAAAGCATAGAATTGTTACCATTAAATATTCTTCCCAATACCTAAAAACTCCAAAATGATGGCTTTCTTGAGGAATTCCTTTTACAATAATACATTAGCAATAGTAAAATACAAGGAAATTACAACTCCCACACGCATTCATAAGGAATCCTCCAAGGATGACCAGACCTCTGAAATTATTAACCTCCAGTAAATCAGTTCCTTGTTGATTATGCTCTGCTGTTCTGCCAAACGCAGCTTTATAATACATGAGAAATTGATACTGATGAATAGAAAAGATATGTAATATTGACACTTCTCCCTTGTCATACACTGTTCATTTTCACCTGTAACCTTCAACTACAGGCAGGAACTGATAGCTCATTTTGTGATAGTGTATAAAATAGACAATAGGGATGGAATTCCTGATAGAAAAACCCTTTGAAACAAAACAGCTAGAAATTGAAAAGAAATATATTTTTGTTAAGTAGAGCTGTCATTAGACAAAAACAAAATCTGGTGAGCTAAACCATGAAGTTTAAACTGGAAGTACCCAGTCTATTACAAAGAATAAAACCTGAAATTTAGCAGTTATATGTCCTGCGAAGTGACATTCTTAAGAAATAAAGACAGAAATAAAGGTCCCTTTCTCAATGACGACTTACATGGCATGTAATTTAGTTTGTTATAGATAAAGACTGTGCTAGCTATAGAATAGTTTCCCACATCTTAAAAGCTGAGGTTTGCTTGGAAAACT